TCTTTTTGCTTATGTGGTGCTGAGGAATTGAACCCAGGGCCTCAGGCATGCAAGGCAAGCACTCTACCACTGAGCCACCTTCCCAGCCCCCATAAAATGATTTTAACCCTGAGTAGAACCAGTCATAACTTTTCTCTTGTATATTTTTCAAATTCTCATTTGTATTCTACTTAGTTGAAAATATCTTCTCTTCGCTAGTCAAGGGTGGAGACTATCTGATTCATCTTCATATCCAAGACCTAATTCAGCACCTCCAATATTAGATAAATATTGTTCCAAGTGAAATGGAATTTGAAAATTAAATATAGCATGAAATTCTGACATACTATTCATAATTGAATTTAAAGGACAAATGATATCTGGATTATCCATTCATGGCAAATATAAATTACTGTCTTAAAATCACTGTTGTTCAAGCTGTCCTCAGTGCATGCAAGTTGCTTAGGCAGTGTTTTCTAGCTTTACATATCTATTATGTAGAGAGCTTTAAAGTAATCCTGATGTCTCGTTCCTACTCCAAACCAATTAGTTCCGAAATTCTGAGGTGGGAATGTGGTTGCTATTTCTTTTCAACTTCACAAGTCACTCTGCTGTGCAGTCAGAATTGAAAACAACAGCCCGAAGGAACAGCAGCTGAAATGATGTTGGTTTGTAGGCAGGAATGAACTTCTGTTGAAAGAGAGACTTCCATTTTCCTTTGGTTGTACAAAGACAAAGAAATGCTTACACAATCCTTCAAAACAATACCAATGACTAACATTTACCCAGCACTTACTCAGCAATCCTGACACCCTGTGAAGTAAGCACTGTTTTGGGCCACGTTTTATAAGTGAAGACTCAGGGGCTCAGAGAAGTACTGTAATTTCCCCAGGTAATTAAGAGAGGGAGCTAGGTGTGAAGGTGTGAGCCCAGGTACATAGGACTCAAAACAAAACCGGAACACAAAACTACAGGAGTGGTTTCTTCATGTATGTGCTTGTGTGCGTGGGGGCGTCGTACACGTGTGCACGTGGTTGGGACCTTTTCTATTGAGGTGAAACTCAAGAGATTGGAATAACCCATGTTTGGGGATTGAATAAAAAAGAAAAGAAAAAACCCACCTCTGATATAAAGTGAGTCTTTGAGACATAGCAGCAGGCTTGGTCCAGGGAGAAGCAATGTCAAGAAGGAAGTCAGAAAAAGCTGGTACACTATACCAACTCGCAAGTGTCCCTTTCCTGACTTAGAGATCCCTCTTGAGAGGTCCTGGGGGAAGTTTCCCTCTTAGGGATAGGCATCTAAGTGGGTGCTAGACTCCCCGTAGAGCTGGTCCTCTGAAGCCACACTGGTAGACACTGCTGGTGCAGAATCTCAGGGTGACCTGTAGTCCAGGAAGCATGCTGAGAACAGCACACAAGGTGGACAGAAACAGGATTTCTTGAGCTCCTGGCTGTTTCCCTATAGTTACATCCCCTGGTTAGAGGGTTCGGCAGACCCTGCTTTCCAGCGATGGTGGTCATCTCCTTGGCTGTTGCTATTAATATACAAATATAAACAGAAGCTATGAATATGGATTTAGGGTATGTGTTGTGTAGGACCCAAACCACGTTCCTTTACACTTGAATGAATGTGTCTGTTCGGTGTAGTGGGATCGTAGGGTGTCAAAAGCATCCAAGATTGAAATGTGGAAGACACATTTTCCCTTTGGATCTCAGTTTCCCTACCTGTAAAAGGGGAATCAAAGTACTAACTTCACATTGTTACTGTGGAAATGAATTGCGATGACGGCTTGGGGTTTGGAGGGTGATGAGCTAGGCCTGAGGTCACTTTATTGGCTTCTTTGGCTTGATTCTCCTAACCCCAGGTTCCAATTAGCTCCCACAACCCTCAGATGACCCGTAGGAAGCCAGATCTTACCTTTCGTGAGGGAGTGGATCCCCAGCTTGACTTGGGAAAAGTTCCCACTTCCGATTTCCCCTCGAATACGGTAGAAGCCAATGCGCTTCCCCAGTGTGATCTCCCTCACCACCTTCTCATCTTGGGACATGTCCTGTGTCAGCTTCTCAAAGGGCGTCAGCTGGTGCGGCTGCCCCTCCTCGGCCTCTTTGCTGCAGTCTGCCTGGCAGCCGCTTTCTACACTGTCGCGCCGGTCCCACTTGGCGTAGTGCGAGTTCACCATGCTGCTTCCATTCACCAGCACTGCTGTCATGGTCCAGGGAGGGTCATGTCTCCATCTCAGCCCAAGAGACACCGATCAGGGCAGCGTGTGGAGGAGGCAGAGGCCCAGAGGGTGAAGATGGAGCTGCTTTGATGTCCCTGGGTGCTGTCCTGTAAGCAGGGCAAATCTCCTTGTTGAGCCTCAGTGACAGGGAGCAGAGACTGCCCAGCCAAGGTGAAAGTTACTCACCTCACTCCAAGCCCTGCCCACTTTTCGATCACCTGGAACTTCCAAGCCTACACTCGGCACTTAGGCACATGTCCTGTGTCCACAGCGCTTCCTCAGTGTGGTGCCTGATGCTCTGTAGTAGTGGATGGTGTCCCTGGACACAGGCTCCAGGATACTGTTCCCGCTGAGGGACAGGAATCTTGCACTCCCCTGTGAGAAATCTCCTGACAGGCTGACAAGCCGCTGCTGCTAGAGCTTCTCTCTGACCTTCTGCATTTGGTGCATCTCTTGCTCCCACATCCCAAAGGCCCTGGAGATAGAATAATCCAGACCCTAGGGAAGAAGAGTCTCACAAATTAGAGGCACACAGGCATCTGGAGAAGGATTAGATCCTGGCAATGTCACTTAGCCTTTATTTAGATGAGCCTTCCTCTAAGCCTGAATTATCCAAAAATCTGGTAGTTGCTGATTCATCCTAAGGAGAAATAATAAGAAAATTATTAGCCCATGTTAATGTAGTGTTTCACATTTATAGTGAAACTGTTTTGACAACATGTATTTAAATGCACTGGACACATTTATGATTCATTCAGTAGCAGATGCTTGATTGCCTATGATTTCATAAGAAGAAAAAAGTATATATGCAAACCCTTTAGTCTAGATTTCAGGAGTCTTTGGGTAATCTGTACATCTTCCCAGTAAAACAATTTTTCTATTTTTTGGAGTTTAGGAAAATATGCGTATTGTTGCTTCAAAACCAGGTTAAAAATATGCTAGCAATGACGATGATAAAGGTTTCCTAATACTATTAGTTTTCAACATTTCTTATTTTTATAATAATAAAGTGAATTATCATTGTATTTCATCTCATTTAATAACTTAATGTTCTTCGGTACTACTAGGGCTTGGACTCTAGGCTTTGTGCTCTCACTTGGCTTTTTCATTCAAGGCTGGTAATCTACCAGGGGAGCCATGCTTCCAATCAGGTGTCAGCCTCCAGGCCCAGCACTTTTATTTTCAAGTTAGGATAACTGGACAAAAAAAACAGTCCACAGAACCATCTGCAATAGGAAATAGCATCCAGCTAGAAGATCTTCCACATTTTTTTTTCCTGCATACTCCAGTAAGAGATGATCTCTTCTTCTCGGAATCAACACCAGATTCTTTGCATTTTTATTTTTTTTTATTTTTTGTGGGCATGGGGCCTGAACTCTGGGCCTAGGCGCTGTCCCTCAGTTCTTCAGCTCAAGGCTAGCACTCTACCACTTGAGCCACAGAGCTACTTCTGGCTTTTTCTGCTTATGTGGTGCCTAGAAATCGAACCCAGGGCCTCATGCATGCAAGGCAAGCACTCTACCACTGAGCCACCGTCCCAGCCCCTGTGCATTTTTTTGGGGGGGAGGGGGTCTGGTCGTGGGGTATGAACTCTGGGCCTGGGTGCTGTCTCTCAGTTCTTCAGCTCAAGGCTAGCTCTCTACCACTTAAGCCACAGCGCCACTTCTGGCTTTTTTTCCTGCTTATGTGGTGCCTAGAAATCGAACCCAGGGACTCAAGCATGCAAGGCAAGTGCTCTACACTGAGCCACCTTCCCAGCCCCCTGCATTTATTTTTTTTTTTAAGTAACTGATCTCTATGAAAGTGGGTTTAGCTCATCTGCATGAATTAAACACACAATGAAATCATCCAGCTGTGAGTCCGGGACCTGTCCTCCGCTTCCCTGGCTTCCCAGCTCTGGATTTGGGCTCTGTATCTTGAACTGCACTCAGACCCTGAGATTAACAGTAAGATTTTAGCTTTGCTATTCTCTTTACCTTTCATTGCCTGCTAAAACTCATCTCCTTCCCTACAATTGTACCAACATCACAGACAATTGTTGAAGGCTAACAGCTTCTGTGTTGGATAATATCTTATACACACAAGTTAAATTCCTTACCAAGTGGTTTTGAACCAATTGTGTTCCCTTAATAGTCAGGTAGACAGGTATAATCTTTCATTTCAATCCACTGAAGAGGCTTTTACATGATTGCAAGTGTCGTGGTGATTTGTCTTGAAGATAAATTGCACCTTGTTAGGGGACAGCTTGCAAGCCTACTGGGGGGGAGGGGGGACTGAGTCCCGGTCTTATGCCTACTCTAAAATAAGTTCTAAATGTATCACCTCGGTAAATGTAAAACAAATAAAAATCATAAAATTTTACAAAAGAATTAGAAAAGCTGGGTGTGGTGGCTCCTGTTTGTAATCCCAGCTACTCAGGAAACAAAGATGAGGAAGAGAGAAGTTTGAGGCTATCCTGGGAGAAAAATTACCAAGACTCCCTCCTGAAAAATTAAAAATTGGGCATGGTATGGTATGTCTATCACCCTAGCCACACAAGATGGATAAATAAGGAGGCTCATGGCCTAGGCCAGTTTAAACAAGAAAAGCAAGACCTTAGCTGAAAAATACCTAAAAGCATAAGAGGTAGTAGAGGACATAAAGGGATGGGGTATAATTCAAGTGGTATAATGACTACCGAGCAAGCCCGAGACGCTGACTTTAAATCCTAGTGCTGAAAAAAAGTTAGAAAACCATAAAAGTAAACATCAAATTTAGTTTACATCTGGGGAGAGTGTTGAATGGAGAATTGTAGGAGCAAAAGAAACATGTAGTTTTCATTATTTGCTCTTTTATGTGTTTCCTACAATCATGTATTTACTAGGAAATAAAAAAACTACTAAAAATACCTGAGGTTTCTTCCTCTTACATAGTTGGCATACAGTAACTTCTCATTACAGTTGTTTATACAGGCCAAGTTGCACACCTAATTCTCAAATATGTAATCAGTTGCTTTTTAAAATCAAAGGTAATTAGGGTTTTGTGATCACATGTACAGAATTTTTTTCTTTCCCTTCTTTTTTTAAATATTTATTTTTTATTCTGAAAATACTGTACAGAGGGGTTACAATTACATGGGCAAGATAATGAGTACATTTCTTATCAAGCATTGTAGCCTCCTCCTTTGTTTCCCCTTCCCATCCCTTCCCATCCTCCCCACACTCTCCCCCCACCCAATCCTCCCCTCCCCACCAAAGTTGTAAAATTCATTTTTGACATGACAACTTCTACTTCTCATTGTTGCAACAGGTCCACCTGTATCCTTATTTAAACGACTTGTTTTTCCCCTTCCCCTCCACAAATTATACCGACATCAAATACAGTGAAAGCAGGGGTTATACTGTGGGGGAGGGACATACAAAGCAACAAAGAAATAATCTTATAATGCGTTAGAAACAATCGCATGAAAGAAAAAAAAACATTTGAATACATCCTAACATCACCTTATCTGACCTTTTCTGCTTGACTCATACATATATTAGATATTGCAAATAAGGGAAACCATGGGACCTATGTTTCTTTGGGCTTGGCTTACTTCACTTAATATAATTTTTCCCAAGTCTTTCCATTTCCTAACAAATGGGGCAATGTCATTGTTTTTGATGGAGGCATAGAATTCCATTGTGTATATATACCACATTTTCTTGATCCATTCATCTACTGAGGGGCATCTGGGTTGGTTCCAGATCTTAGCTATAGTAAATAATGCTGCAATAAACATAGTTGTGCTGGTAGTTTAGTGTGGTCTTGTTTGTAAGCATTTGGATAAATGCCCAAAAGTGGGATTGCTGGGTCATAGGGGAGCTCTATGTGGAGTTTTTTGAGGAACCTCCATACTACTTTCCAAAGTGGCTGAACAAGTTTACACTCCCACCAACAATGCAGTAAGGTTCCCTTCTGTCCACACCCCCCCAACAACCGGTGGTAATAAAAGTCCTGAATTTTTTAAAAAAAATTTTTTATTGTGAAAATACTGTACAGTTACATGAGCAAGGTAATGACTACATTAAACATACAGAATTTAATAGTCTCATTTATCTCTACTTCTTTCTAGTAGATGGAAAGGAAGGAACAAAATAAGAGAAATAGGAATCCCAAAAGTCAAAACAAGTGAGAGAAGAGACTGCAGTAGGCATGAAGTGTCAACACAAGCAGGAGAGATGGAGAGGAAGTGGAGGGGCGGTGGAGAGACAACTTGCACAGACAGTGCAGTCACACATAGGAGTATGTCAACGCAATTCCATTTCTGAGTACTCAGAAGCCATCAAAATCTAAGAGTCCAAGCATTGCAAAGGGTAAGGGACAGCCACACGATGGCCCAAACCATGGAGATTATTTAGGTAAGAGCACTAGGCCTCTTCCTCCTCAGGAGTACAGGCACAAGGAAAAAGTGTTAGTTAACACGTTGCTTATGAAATTGTCTTATTGTCTTGAGTTTTCAGGATGGAGGGAAATAAGCATAGAAGCTTCTAGATACAGACTTTTTTTTTTTTGGTGCTGGTCCTTGGGGTTGAACTCAAGACCTGAACTATTTTACAGTCTACTTCTGGCTTTTTTTTTTTTTTTTTGAGGGTGGTTAATTAGAGGTAAGAGTCTCATGGACTTTCTTACCCAGGATGGTTTTGAACCATGATCTCAACCTCCTGAGTAGCCAAGATTTCAGGTGTAATTCCACTTTTGGATAGACTCTAACTAGCAAAGGAAAATGAACTCCTGAAAGCTATGTTTGGAAGTTCTCTAACACAAAAGTCACCCAACCACCTACTATTCATTTCCTGGGTGTTTGTGTGTGTGATGCACAAGTGCATCACACACACACACACACTGAGAAGCCTCCTATCAAATCTTTGTACCATCTCAAAAAATGAACACCTAGTAAGAGGAAGAAGATACAGAGGACAGGCTCCAAAATGAACTAGATCCAACCAAAACAACCACTACCACAACAC